GCATCAACCTCAACAACGCGTTCAAAATCAAGAATAAAAGTTTGAAATTAAGGCCTAATTGGCTGTTAGAAGATAGAATGAAGCGAAGATAAGCCATGGGCTGAACTAAAGGTCAGGCTAGAGAATGGAGAAAAACGACCTCAAACCATTGAGTTTTTGGCCGGTGGGGTCTTGGGAACCGATGTTACCCGAACCTCTCTTCATAAACCGGATGAACAATTGGGTGTTTCAGTGTGCTATACGAACGTGTGTAGTCTTAAGAATAAGCTAGCCAAATTAGGTGAATTATCTGAAAGACCACGACCCTACGTCATTGCTATCACTGAGACGTGGTAGTTAATCGGAGGAGACTTAACTCCACTCATACCTGGGTACAACTGCATTAAAGCAAACAGAGTAATTAGTCAGAAAGTTTGCGGGAATGATATTGAGATTAGGTCAACACAGTCAGAAGCACATGATAGCGGAACCAGTGAATCTGAAAGTTGTGTCATTGAATGAAACATAGGCACTTTAATGATCGGAATTATGTACGGAAGTCCTGCTGGCCAAGATGATGACTTCGTTTTAAATCACTTGAGGGCATGGAGTAGTAGAAATAGGTGTCTGATAAGGGGGAATTAAAATTCACTAGTTTGAATACCTGTTTCAATAGGGAGCTCACACTGACAATGCTTTAATGTTCACTCGTGCAACATATGCACACACCAACACGGTATCACCCAGAACATGATCTCCTATGGACTTGGTGTGAAAACACAAGAGGAGGATGTCGATAACATTAGGTGACTTCTACCGCTAGGCAGCAGTGACCACCTAGTCATTACTTTTGCGTTTAAAATTCATTCTGTCATTTACAGGTCAACATCTGTTCGTCCAAACATTCGGAAAGCGGATGTACCTGGAACCGGAAAGCAGCAAATTTAGCTGACCGGTGAAATGATACAATTTAGAATGGTCAGGTAGCTTGGGTGGGATTTAGGAATACACTAGATTCCGTCACAGCACCTTTTGTAGCCTGGTACACCCCTAAAAAGCTATCTCACAATCCACCTCGAAGTTGTTAATTCGACCAGGTGTGTGTCTTTCTGCAGGTGAATCAGCCGTTGATATTCATCAGCTATGTCATGTAATGTTAACTTAGGATTTTGTTCTAGCTGATTGAGCAGTCGAGTTCGGATATCTGTGAAACGAGGAGATTGGAGACTGCATATGAGAACCAAGGCTTTGAATTAATCATCTGTTAAGGACCTGAGTCGAAACCTCTCACATTCTCGGTTGACTGTACCAACGTGAGTAAGAAAATCATCATTTTCATTCATTGTCAGCTTGAGGAAACGATAACGTATGCTGAATAATGAGGAGTGGTCTCCAAAATGTTCACGCAGCAGCTTTATTGTATCATCGAAACACTTGTCACGTGGTTTTTGGGGTAAAATTGGGTTACAGTACGTTTCATATTCTGTGGGACCCAATTTACGTAACAACACTCGCACCTTTCAAGCATCGTCTTGAGAGGCGAGAGCAACTGTGAATAAATCCTCATATCGTTGATACCATGTGTCATAAGTGACATTAGCATCTGGATCATAATTGAACTGTGAAATACTATTCACAATGCCGTCGACAGATGGTGACATGGTATGATTCAGAGTGCTCGAAGGTGAAGCTGAACTAGTCCGTTTGTTTGTGAGCAATTCCATTAATTTCATTTGTTGCTCAAATTGTAATTCCAATTTAGAATAATCCATAGTTCTCCCCGTCGCCAATTTTCTGTTATGTACTCGTCGAGTAGTTAATAGTCCTGACGCGGAAAGAGGAAAATCAGAAGATCACCTCGTCCACGATGGTACTTGTATTTTCCAAACAAGGAAAGAAATGACTGTCACACAAGTGCGAGAGTGAAAGGGTACGTAGTGTACGAAGTGTGTGAACAAGTGTATATAAAAGTGTACAAAGCAAGAGTATATATGAAATGGCTAATATACATGAACCAATAAGATAGACAGTAGTTTTTTTCTTACCATTATTGGATTTTGACTGGTTGTAATGTCATGTGATAACAAGGTCATACATTGTTTATCTAGTTAACGGACAGACAAGCATATTGTGAGTTATAATGAAATATCGATCAACGTACACATAGCAAAATATATCACTGTCAAAACCAAAACAGACATTATGTGACTACATATCAGTATATGAGTTGTATGGAGTACGATTGACAGCTGGTACTGGATTTTGTTCATTACCCATAAATGCTGAACTCGTATATTAAACGTAGGACTAAAACTAGCGATGGTACACCATCACTCATAGGCATCAGTGGAGAAGCGGCCGGGTCAGATGAGGGAAAGGCTGTAAACCTCAATGAATACTCCTACGACGTCTTCTCGTCTGATGGCACCCCACAGGGACATGACAAGGTCACTTCCATCGCCACTCAGATGCCCTCAACTGTCGTAGAATACACGAGGGGCCTCAAAATACTCTCTAAACTGAAGCCGGGTTAGTCAACTGGGCCCGATAGACTTCACCCTAAACTGTTAGTGTCCCTGGCGGATATAATATATATTCCAATTACGGAGATTTTCCGAATGTCTCTGACCCAAGCTAAGCTACCCAGAGACTGGAAGGATGCCAACACAAGCCCTGCCTTCAGAGAGCGGAACAGGTAATTAGTATCTAACTATCGGCCGATAATTGTGACATGCATTATAGCAAAGGTATTGGAAACAATTATAAGGGATCAGCTATTGGCTCACGTTGAAAAATATGGCTTGCTGGCTGTGGAAAAGCATGGATTCTAACCAGGACGATCCTGCCTGACAAACTTCTATTGGCGAGGGAAGACTGGGTTGAGGTCAGATAGGATGACCTTCTGAAGGACACGGTTTTTGCCGATCTCAATAAGTTATTCGATAAATGTCCCACTTAGGTCTCCTTAGTAAAGCTAATGATCTCAGACTAGACCAATGCCTATTCGAGTGGTTTAGCGACTACCTAATGGATAGAAGCAGAATGTTAGAGCCAATGGCGTGCTGTCGTGGTGGAAAGCAATATCCAGTGGAGTGCCTCAGGGAACTATATAAGGCCCCTTGCTTTTCCTATTATACGTTAATGAACTACCAGGAATGCTTACTTCATCTTCATTATTATTTTCGGACGTCATTAAGGTCTGGTAAACTGGAAATAATAATTATGATAGGCTGGCCACACAAAATTATCTAGATAAATTACCTGAGTGGTCGATCCTGTGGAGTTTGGAAATGAATTCTAGGAAAAGCGCAGTGACACACTTAGGTCAGAAGTCTTGAACGTCGTACTCTGTAGGGGACACGGGACTACTTGATGTTGACGCACAGGACGTAGGAATCATTATCGGCAACTGCAGATTGCAATGCTGACGCATTTAAGGATTTTCGAATGCCTTGGGGACTCCAAAGAGCTTTCAAACGGTAAGATGAGTCTATGTTCAAAGTCCCCTACGCAACATATGTCAGGCCTCATCTAGAATACTGCATACAAGTGGCTAGTCCATGCTTCAAGAAAGAGGGACATATATTAGAAAGAGTGCAGAGAGTGGGAACCAAATTAGTTAGCGGTATGTGACATCCTACTTATGACAAAAGGATGGAGCATCTAAATCTCTTCCCGTTATCATACCGAAGGAAGAGCGGCGACTTAATTTTCGCATAGCGTATACTTAAGGGTGACTTAGGAACTGACCTTTCTAAAATTTTCTCCCCTTCTAGGATACACTTACGGGGTCACTGCAAAAAGGTGCTCAAACCAAGGGCGATTAAAATACGTGCGGAATTTAGGTTCTCTCACAGTGGTCTACGACTGGAACTCCTTAACTGATTCAGTAGTGTCCGCTCCATCGGCGAAAGCTTTCGAATAGAAGTTAGATCTTCTCAGAGATGCATTTTGCAAGGATTAACACAGGCCATCACAGCCTACCATCCTTCTGAACGTGCATATTGGACATTTAGTAACCCGAAGGTCGTGCACTTTCTAAATATTGGCTTCACGTGTGAGAAATTTTTTTGATCATCGGTGACATTCTAATAACTGTCGTTATTGTTATTACACAACCTAGTTGGCTCATTTAATTTAAAGATTTGCGTAACATATTCAGACCAGAGTATCAGTTACTATCACACAGTTGGTATAAATAGTTGTTCCGAACACAAATGAGTCAATTTCGTTGTAGATTCACACGAAAAGAGCCGCGGTGGTTGAAGTCTTGCAAAATTTCTGCACATATTACGTGTTATTTCACTAATAGGCATATGATGAACTATATCAGTTACTTCGGCGCGTGACCGTTGACAATCATTTATAGTTAGGGGTGTTTTGACAGAATTAAATCAGGTCTTCTGTATTAATTTTTCTTAGAAAATTCCACAAAGATCAAGTTTTTGATTATTGTGTTAATAATGGGTCCATTGGAGTTGTTAATACATACATAGATTCAGAGGCAACTGGCCTTTTTGGGGTAAAATAAAGAACTAATGTAAAAAATGAGCGAACCTGACCACGTCTTTATCTACAGTCATCTTTTTAACAATTTTACCGCTTTTCTGGCTGCCTAATTTTTTGGAGCAAGTCGGGGTTTCTACTGTGGCGAACCTTGTGAAAAGTAGACACTGCTTTTGTCTACAGTAGACGAAAAATGCTCACGAGCTGCTTACTAGCTCCACATAGTTATCTGTTGATCTTAGAGCCAGGATTAAGTTACAAGATTGTGAGTAGCCTACGTTGTTACTTAAAACGACATGGCTTAGTTTTGAAATAAGGCTCGGGATTGTGTCAGATAACATACATTGTGTAGTCAATTTTGCAAACACTTAAACTTTGCCCATGGGAAATTTAATCTCTTGTTTACTCATTTTCAGCGATTTTTGTTCGGACACTGATTTGCTGTTCTGAACAAGTTCTAAACATTCAAGACAAAGCTTGGAATATCAAGCCATACCCCTCAAATTCAGATTAAAATGAGTGATCAGGCACTATCCTTGATGTAAGTCTGTAAGAAAATAAACTTTAATTTCATTTAATCTAGCCTCTGCTGCAAATGCGGTGTTCCAATACATTCCAATACTGCAAATATGTGCTTTACATGCTTATCCGGTGACGCAGATATCGCTGCTCATATTGATCGCCAAAATACTATAACATTTTGCCCGAAATGCGAACGGTAGTTTGCGTTATTATTATTTAACGGTTGCAGTTATTTGAGTCCTCCATCCAACTGGATATGTGCTGAACCAGAGTCTCCGGAGTTACTTGCATTGTGTATAAAAAGAATTCGAGGTTTAAAGAAGGGTTTGGATGTTCGGAGCGCTAGATTCATCTGGACGGAGCCTCATAGTAGAAGAATATCCATAGAGGTATTATTCTCTTTACTGCAGCTCTTGGTTTTTTTGTAGCTTTATGGACTTAGTAATTTTGCACTGACTGGGACTGTTTAACTCGTCTTAAAATATATATGGTTGTCGTAACGAATTACATTTTTTGTCGTAAGTGTATAGAAGAAGGACAATCTAGTAAACTTTAATAAGTTCGCTAAACACCGAAGCCATCAGGCTGACACAAAAACTACCTACCTATACTTGTAGATCTCTGTTTGATTGTATCAAAACAGAAGCCGTATACTGTGAGGATAATAATTGGATGGTATAGTGCACTAATTATGTGAAACTAAAACTACTTTGCCTGAAAACTGTACGTTGTTTAACAAGATTCTTTAGTATTCACAGTGATCTCCGCCTGCTTCATTTGATGCATATAAGATTTGAAAAACAGAATCAATTGATTGGAAAAGGACATTAAACATAGTAAAAAGAATGCTTATGGTAACATCTCAACAGAAGGTTAATTGAACAATTTCATCATCATCATTACTTAAACATGCTTCATTTGTTTGGTATTTGATAGTTTTCAGGTGGACAGAGAATATCAAAATGCCAACTAGTATTACTGTGTAGCAGTCTAAGCTGTACTTCCGCATACATTTTCTAAAGATGAATGGGGTTATCTATACCTTTGTAAAGTTCAATTATGGTGAAAATATGAATCTGCAACTTAGTACTGAACGCGCCTAAAGATGGTTATACTCCTAGAGGTGTTATAAATTTACAGTAGATTTTATATGGTGTGCCTCTTATAGGCTTTCCATTTTGGTACTACTGACTTCAAAATGAAATATTTAGCCTTTACTATAGAAAATTGCTTTGAAATATTTATTGTTAACATGTCAATGCATGTTTCCATGTCAATACATCAGGTCGTGTGTACTGCTTAGCAGTCCACCCCGTCTTTCTTTATGGCTATAAGACCTGGCCATTGAGAATGGAAGACCTGCAAAGGTTAACTGTGTTTTGTCATAGGTGTCTGCGTTCTATCTCCCGTGTCAGGTGATATAATAGGGTTAGGAGTATTGAGATTAGGCTTCGATCGAGTACTAAGTAAGGAGGGGAAATCAATCGAAGAGGCTGTGAAGTTACAACGACTGAGATGGTTAGGATATGTGTTACGTATGCCTGCCTAGCCATCGCCTTTCTCGACCAACAATGTTGTCTGACATGGTATCAGGTTGGAAAAGAGCTAGTAGTGGTCAAACCAAAACATGGCCTCATTAATCAATGAAATCCATAGCAATTGGTGTAAGCCACGTAGGGAGGTGTAAACTTCCTTACTGGTTGGGGTCCTCGGGACGGTAAAAGCCAATGAGGGATGGAGACGATTGGTGATATGACTCAAAATCATTCTCAATGGCTAGCGCAGATGTATCCACTCCTTGTGGCTTATAATATCCAATAGAGTTATACTGTTCATCGATATTACTATTCTGTTGCCTCGTATCTCTGCTTACTGTCTCCATTTTGCGTTTATTTTTACTTTCTTCTCTGGCTTTGTGTGCTGATTGAAGTGTGGCGACTCGAACTGCTACACATCGGTGCAAAGTTCTATGTTGAAACCAGTCAGTCAGTCAATATATCATATCTCAAAGTTGACCACGATCAATAATATACATTCATCAGATTGTCTAGTATGCATTCTGTCATGTTACATAGAGAGTGAAGAGTGTTATACTGCTTCTATCCTATCGAAAATAAGTGCATTAGTATCAACTTAACTTTTAGTTACGTAATGTCTATATTATTATATAATGGTTAGTTGATATGTGATGCATAGTTCAGGGGTATTTTATCCACACGACACAGTCCTTCTTTCTATTGCTTTCTACTTGATGCTTGGATATTAAGCCTGTCGACACAATGATCGCATACATACTATGTCGATGATAACTGACTGACTTAAATAAAAGGGGGTATAACGTTGCAGTTCCACAACGGAAAACTCAGCGAGGCGTTTGGAGTTAACACAAGAGTCAGACAAGGGTGCTTATTATCACTAATGATATTCCTAATTGTGGTGGACTGACTGGATTATACGCCAGACAGTGGGAAACGAGAAGACAGGAATACCCTGGACCGACCGACGTGAAGAACCTAGAAGACCTGGATTTCGCGCGTGGATGATTTATGTTTGATGTCACACAAAATCGAAGACTTACAAGCGAAAACCGACAAACTGGTCGAGGAAGCAGCCGGAGAAGACAGGACTGTAAATGCATATACGCTTTAATTTCTCATCATTAATCAGGTTGTAGTTTCCAGTTCTAATGATTCGTTATCTTCATTTAGCTACATACAATTCTGAATATTATGTTATAATCGTTTGAAATCTTTCTTTGTTGTTGAATTATTGGTTAGGTAACTGTACATGGTGCATTGCAAACTGGTGATCTTGTTGAGCAAAGAATTCCTATTGATTTTACAGTTCACTCACAACAGTGTACTGCATGTACTCGTAACGCTGCCAAGGATTATTGGAATGCTTGTGTTCAAGTTCGTCAGAAGGTAAATTCTTTTCGTGTGTATATACTTTTTTCAATAATAATAATAATGATATCTTTATTCTGGACAGTATTTATAAAATGTACAGAATTTTCATAGGGGTTTATTGCATGATATTTCTTCTCTTCGTACAATATCTTCAAGTAAAATATTAATAGACTGTATATCCTGTGACATAATCGTCTCTGAGCTGAAGCATAAACCATTCCATTATGATATTTCTCTTTTGTCTCTGCTTCAAGAAATCCACGATATCGATCGAGTTGGAAGTCACTTGTAATTTGTTGAGAAGTACATTTTGAGACCCAAAGACTTAACTGAAGGACAGTTATCTCATGTATTTGAACACGTTGCCACCGACAATCAGGTTTAGTAGGAAGTTGCGAATAAGACAGGAGTTTGTAAACATTTTAAATACACACAAGAGTAGATAATACCATTAGAGGTGATAGTTGAATCGATTAAACCGAACAAGAGAAAATATATGCAATAGAGAGATAGAAGTTTTTGGTAGTCCAAGCTTATTGTATACTTTTCAGTGAAAATAAATCAGTTCTAGTTACTGTGATTGTTCGACAACCTATTGTTCATAAGTCATTGGCTAAAAACAAAGAATTTTTTGTAGTTGTAGTTATGTACCTACGTTTTTTTATTGGTGGGATAATTTAAGAATATTTTGCGAGCTTTCGTTTTAAACATCCCTGTTATCATCAGACAACTCACATGTTGTAAGAACTTATGTACGTTCACGGTGTTTAATATTTTCACTCCTTGGGTGGTCATTCTTATCTCATATGATCTCTTGTCCTTTATTGTCTCACCGGAAGCACTGGTGGTGCACTCGTGTCTTGTTCTTATCGTTTGATGTATACTTTTTGTAGTGTCTCTCAATTCTATTTAGTTTAAGTATATATATATATATATATATATATGTATATGAGTATCTTAACCGCTTAGAATAATAATTTATACGTTATTTAGGTGCATATGTATCGGTGTTTCGGTCGTAGAACGCTCGCCAATCGCGCCACACGTGGTCAGGGGTTCGATCCTCGGCCGATGCATTCCTTCACCTCACTAAGTCGATAAAGAAAGAAGGTTCGGTGCGAGACTAGCAATCCAACCCTGTAAAAGTAAAACCACTGCTACCTAAACTTAAAAGATCAAGCTTGAAGCACCCCGATGTTCCACTGGGAACGTAAAGGAATAAAATAAATAATAATCATAAAAATATTTAAGCGCATGCCATTTGTCCTTTTTTGCAATAGCAGAAGCAGCCAGAACGCTTCACTCTTTTACCTGGTTTTTCTTATTTAGTTTCTTTCATCAAGATATGTAATCATAATCCAATAGAGTGTTCTGTCACATCGAAAAACCAACACGTTTCTTGTACTGTGATTGGAGGTGCGTCGGCACATTTCTTGAGCTTATATTGAGTTTACTGGGCCAGCCAGTTGTTTTTAAAAATCAATTACCCGAAATAGGATTTTCTTATGAAGGCCTGAAGATGCTACTCAGTTGGAGAGGTTGAGGTAGAGTGGATCGACTGATTAAAAGTTGAGTGTTTAAGCCACTAAGCCACATTAACCGGTGCTGTGTCTTAAAATGATTTTACTTAAGAAACGCCACACTTCACACGATTCCTATCTACCGTTAAAACATTATGTTTCACCTGAAATCCGTGAAAGTAGTTAGTATCACCTTATAATATTTACTTCAATATAACGAAATCAATCACATCCCGACATTATTGTACCATTTAACTATCAGTGGTCTTCAACACTTTTAGAAAAGTTTGTCTAAGCAGTTTTATTTATGTCTTGCATTTCATTGCTGTCTTTTTAAGTGAATAACCACGTAATAAAATGACCTTTGGGTGGTGGTGATGGTGGCCACACACAACTCGTGATGTAATTAAACTTATGGGGTGGCTGATATTGGGCATATTTTTAAACTTTATTATGCCTGAAGGTCATGATTTAAAAGGAATGGGGATTTTAGTCAACTTGTCAACCAGGCTTTCAGATGCTATTCTATCGGCTTCAGTCTGTGCAGCCGAGCAGTACCACTAATGTATACACGGGAAGTCAAACTTATAGAATTTATTTATTTATGTTTTTTTCAAGTTCACATTCACACTTTTTGTTTACTCTTGTGTAGGTGGATCATAAAAAGACATTGCTACACTTGGAACAAGTTATCCTTCGATCTGGTGTACACAAAACTTGTTCCAATATTAAACAAGTTTCAGGTAGGTATCAACAGTGTGTGTGCGTGTGTATAACTTCAAAGAATTATAATCGTTAGTAGAAAGATGAGGCTTTCGTTTTCTCATAGTTACTATTTTCCAGTTTCTGTATCTGTCTTCCCAAGTTTTTATGATTAAGCTATTAAGCTTTCTCGACTAATTAATTTTTTGACTTGCGTATTAATGTAAAGACCTGACTGTCACTTCCCTGTCACTGTCACACAAAATCCCAAGGTTTGTGCGAGGCTGGGATACTTCCAGGGGGCCCAGATTGAAGCAAGTGGACGTTGTAAGGGACCACACCAGACGAGCCCTGGACTTCAGACACAAAAGAATGGAGCAAAGTTAGGAGCTCCTTTCTCACCGTTGCCAGTGGTTAAAACAGGTTCGTACGTCATTCGATCATTTCAGATTCTGGAGCCCACGTACACCTCAGGTTTGTAATCAGAGTTTTCCAGCTTCCATAGGTAGACAAGCATGTCCATCATTTCGGTTGTAAGCGCCAGACATTTTGATTCGCTCTTTCACTTTTGTGTGAAACAACCCTGCCGCATGAAGACAGTGGATAGGACTCTCGCGGCAGAGACTATGAACGTGTGGCCACATGAATACATTTCGAGAGAACGACAAAAGTCTACGCACGCCTGGCTGTATCAGAACGTATATGGGAGCCCTTTTCCCGGCTTGAGGTCGGACATGCTAATGTGTATATACTTCCGAATAGTCACACACTAGTAATAGTGTTGAGTGTAGAGATGTGACCGATTGGCTTTCAGGCAACTAATTCCGGTTTGGAATCCCTCTTTGCCTACTTCAGTTTGGATACCTCGGTTGCATCATCAGCCCAGCCTCTCACAGCAGTAATCTTTTTCGCATAACTGAGTTCTCACCAGGTTTCCAAGTGGCACATTTTATATTTGTACCTCAAGAAGCAGATATTAAAAACGAAGCAAGTAAGCGGAAGTAATAAGATTGCTATTTGTTCGACGGAGATTACATAGAGCAAGTAAAGGAATACGATATTTACATCAACAGAAGGATAAGGTGTAAATGTAACTCGGCCGTTGGATTTGGTTATAATTCAGCTAACCGTTAACAAAAAGGTTTCTTGGTCATGTAGACGGAAACAATAGTTAGTGAACTGGTCGATTGTTGATCCCCTTCAATTCCGCCTAGGAAGACAGTGAGTCAGCATGTGTAACTTGGGTTCTAGCCACCTTAGAAGATGACTACTCACTTAGTTTTTGACATTTAACGTTTACATTAGTCACGTGTTTATTCTGGTATAAACCGAGCGATGCTGGGGACATCACTCGTACCCAATTCCCATGAAACTTCATGAACTCTCTTACAAATTGCCGCGCCTGGGCAGCGATGATTCGAGACGTTCATGAAGCCGGCTCATCCTCCCGTAGGAGATAGCCGAAGTAAAGTAAAGTAAGTAAGTCTGGTATATAAACTTGGATCTCTTGTTATGGTTTGTATTTTAGTGTGTGATAATCTATTCACCGTCTGTGTTTGTGTTTTTTTGAATATGTGGTGAATTCCTCTTCTGAGAGTAAAATTCGATTAGGTCATCGTACTTTTCATGTTAGGCGGTATTTGTTCATATTCCTGCAAGATGATGCTCGCTAGTGACTTGCTACATGACGGAGTTTCCTGGAGTTCTACTTAGAAGTCGTGACCAGTGAGGTCCAACCAGTCAAGTGTGAGGGGATGCCGTTCCCACCGATGACATTGGTTGGTGGTCGCACTAAATCACAAATTGGTAGAAGTTAGAATTCATAGACTGGCCATTAAATCACGCCCCAGTGACTGAGTGGTATACGACCTTGACTTGTAAACGGAAGGTCCTGGGTTCGAACCCATGCGGTGGGTGCGTATTACCGATGATTCCCAAACTAGGTGGGCAAACATTCTAGGGCTATTTATCTTACCTTTATGCGTACATACGAACACTACGAGGTGTAAGTAGCTAGACATATTTGAATAGTTAGATACCTAATATTCCCATACCTCATTGCGAGAATTGTAGTAAGATTAAATAACCACAAATCATTACAGAAAGCACAGATCAAATTTTTTAAAATTTTCATTCAGCTAGACTTTTACCAGAGTAATTAATGATATTAACTTGAGTTCATCCATATTCACCCTTATTTCTATTAGCTTAACATTCTTTTTTCACTTATTGGGTTCTGGGTTCGAGTCCCTCTCCATCTACTTCATTCTGCGCGGTTGGATATTAGCATAAACCCGCATACTTAAGTAACGTTGAACATCTAGTTTTCCATTAGTTTTCGACTATGTAGCAATGCGCAATCATCACTCCACGTGATAGTGGTTCCAATGGCTTTTGGTTCTCATGGTGAACACGTCACTAACAAATTAATAGGACAATTCCCGGTAACTGATTTCTGCAAGTGCCAGTCTTCTATGTAGCCTGATCGTCATACATCGTGTGCATACATCTTAATATCAGACCTTGTCCGAAATTTTCACCACCAACAGTTTCCTCATTAAATTCTAATTTTTACGGAATCATAGTTGCTAATGATGTATTGTTTTCCTTTTTGGCTTTTAGGTGGTATTGACTTCTTTTTCAGCACACGTTCACAAGCTGCTACTTTTGTCAATTTTCTTTCGAAACGTTCACCTTGTCGGTAAGTGTGTAGACTACTTACTGTTCCGTATTTATCATTCGAAATTTTCAACTGGTCACATGAATTTTATTCAGTTGTTGTTCTCCATCATTTTACCTTATCGGTGGAAAAAAAACTTTGTTGAACATGATTTTAACATTTTGTGTTCTCTTGTCATTTCTTCTCCCGAATCGTTGCACTCTGTGCATAATCGCGCCTGTTCACTGTATTTTTCCTTATGAAGATATAGTTAATCGGCTTAACCACTCAGTTTTTATTTTTACGAGTTGATCACGGATTAATATCTCAGTTAGAGAACCATTGAAAACCAGGGAGTACTGTTTCATCCTAGTTTGGGAATCATCGGTAATACGCAACCATTGGGGTTCGAACCCAGGACTTTCCGGTTACAAGGCAAGGTTGTATACCATTCAGTCACTGGGACCCGATTCAATCGCTCATGAATTCTAACTTCTACCAGCTGTCCAGTACTCCCTGGTTTTCAATGGTTCTCTAACTGATATCAATCCCTGATCAACTCGTAAAAACAAAACTAACCAACTATAGAAAACTTGGTTTTTAGCCAAGGGGCCCTTAGTTCGAATCCCACTCCGTGTTTCAATCCCTCATATCCTGGTACAGTAATGAACTGTTCCGGGTGATTGGATTCAAACAACAAACAAGCTATACTTTTCAGTCCAACAAGTTGATGTTTGCTGAGTAGTCTTGGCAGTTTTGTTAACGTTTGATACTACGACGGTATTTTTACTGCATCGAATTCATGCTTTCCTCATGGAGTTTTTTCTCTCATTAATATACAGTCATGTGGTGGTCACATACATAGTTGATTTTATTTACTCAGTTTAAAGAATTGTAATTATTAAAAGGAGAATGGTTCTCAGAAAGGCTTCGTATGCTTTTGGAAGTGTGTGGGCGGTTTCTACTTCCCGTCTGTCCACACCGTGGAAGTTGATTGAATCTTCGGGTACCTGAAACAGAAATAGGGTTAGTGTTGGGTGACCGCAGAGTCCAGGGGACAACTGCTTGAGACCGGTCACACACGGACTGTGTGAGCTGGTTTCTTGGATTGATTCCGTATTATTAAAATTACCGCCGGTTACGGACCACTGTAGATGGTGGGGTAAGTCGGGATGTACAATTTTTGGGGTCGACCTTTTCTAACTTCCACTCTTCAGAGTAGAGAGACAGCATAGTTGGGTGACATGTTGGTCATCTGAGGGAAACACCTTAATGCTGTCACATCCCTATTCCCCAGCAATACGACTTCGCCCACAGACTCCAGCATACTGTAAAAAATTCCTATGCTATGCCGGTAACTGGCATGGTAGGACCTGCAGGAACAATAGTTCCAGCCAGTGTAGCTGTGGTGAGAGCAGGCCGTGAGAAAATATGTACAAGGCTGATTCAACAACCAATCACAGCAGACTTAAAGTGGCAAAATATGATTCGCAGATAGAGAACTCTATTTTTCGAGGAATCCCAAAACAACCAATCAGAAGCCTGCGTTTGTCTGCTTAACTTCTGATAAACAACCAATCAGATGACTGCGCTTGTCTACTTGCATAAGCTATAATAATGTATGTGAAATATATATAAATACGTGTTGATTTTCGTAATAAACGATCTGTTGCCTGGCCCTTGTCTTCTGTTGTTACATAGCTTGTTGGATCATTGCGATATGCAAGCCAGACCACCACATCAAGGTAGCAGCTATCGGTCGGGATAATTATTAAAAGGGTAGTTGCAGCGAAGAAAATTTTCTTTTCGATGAAGTCATCATCATATTCAGCTCCAGTCGAAAAGTTTTTCAAAGTCACATACAAAATCCGATCTAACCTCTCAAAAGGAGTGGAATCAAGACATCTAGGAATAGCTGAGTCACCAGCGACCCAAAAGTTAAAGCCCACCTACGTGTTACTCCATAGTTTTATATACTCAGATGTTTGTGTGTGTGTACGTGTGTGCTTTTAATAGGTTTATCTAACATTATTTTTTATGAATTCACTTTTAGTTGTCAAACTGCACAACATTTAAAATCCCATGATGTACATAACAATACATACAATTACAAGTATACATTTTCTGTGGAGATTGCACCAGTTTGTAAAGTGAGTATGTAGCGTTGGTAATATTTTAGTTGCTGTAATTATTACTATTATTATTATTATTGTCACTATTAATACTTCAAATTCAGTTGTATAACACGCATAAAGTGCTGTCAAAAGCAGAAGACTGTTCAGCGGAGAAATGTATTTACTAATTGTCAGTCCGCAGGGATTCGATCGACTAAAGGTTTGGACATGAGCCAATATCAGGTAGAAAACCGCTAGAAAACCAAGGCGAGCGTGTTGACTATTCAGCCGCTGGTACCCCGACCCACTGGCTCATGAATTCCAACTTCTGGGAATTCGCGATATAAACTTGGTGTAGCCATCAGGCAGTGTCGTATATGAGTAACTGTTCTCTTACCTGACTTGGTGAACCCCGTTGGTGGCTGCAACTTCTCTCTAGAACTCCAGGTAACTTCATGTATTAAAGCCAGTCGTTAGTGTGCATCAGATTAAATATCAAGTGTTGATTTTTTCAGGGATTTGATTGGTTACAGGTCCGATCACAAGCTGACATCATTTGGAGAAATTCTTTTTACCGACGATGTCATCTTTGAAGGTTATACAATCGTATTTATATTTACTAAAATTTATAGCAATCTATTATTGAGTATTAGGGTATGTCTGTGTGTGTGTGTGAAATAAACCATATAGTTACTCAAAAGTGGTTTGTAAAAGTGAAAAACGTTAACGTGTAATACACAGAGACGACAACAGTTGACGCAAGGGCTTGAAATTGAATAAGATAAAAGGTGATTTGATTTGGCACTAGTAACTAGTGTGATGTGTCTAGTCCTTTCTTTGGTGCAGACTGAATTCTATCAGTCAGTCAGGTTTGCAATGTGGCCACCATTCTAGGTAGCTCGCCATCACGGTGCATACTGATTTGATGATATTCGATAGTTGGAGGTAATCGGCAGGAAGCCTTGAACCTTGGTTTCGTGCTAGGCATATCTTCAACCCTGAAGGAACTCATCTGCCTTCTGAGATTCGAACCCGCGTCACCCCAGTGAGTGGTGCAGTCAGAGACGTTACCACTGAGCTATTTGGCCACTCAATTGACCTCCTGTAGGACTGTAGTGGCAACTTTGATTGGACACTAGTAACTAGTGTGATGTGTCTAGTGTTGTTAAGGTTCCCATTAGATAAGTATGACGGGAGTGAGAACAAAATGAACTGACTAGTTAAATGTACAGAAACAACATTTCAGAGTGATAACAGTGAATCGTTTAATAAAAATATAAGTCCAACGAGTACATGGTAGTTCAAGATCATGATAAAATATGAGACGGAACAATCATTTTCCATACTTTTGAGTTGATGAATTCTAAGTGTCGAAGACTAACATCCTTTGCCGATAATTTTAAAAGAGGACTCTCGGATGAGGGGGGGGACTGCGATGTGTTCGAAAAGTGTGCGCTGTGTATACAACAAGTATAACTCACTCCACAAGCGTAAGTGAATTAGTAGACACATACTGAACAGACACAAACGACCTGTTTTATTCCTTTACGTTCCCAGTGGAACATACGGCTTCAAGCTGCCGGCTTGGAGTTTCAGTAGCGGTGGTATTTATTTTTACGGGATGACGTTGCTAGCTTCATTCCCCATATTCTTTCTTTACCAGTCTTATTACTGGCCTAGCGAGGTAAAGGAGTGCGTCCGTTGCCAGAGATCGAATTCCGGCCCACATGTGTGGAGTTGGTGAGTATTCTTCTACTGTGTCACCGATTCACAAACGTGTGCTCACTTTATATCTTGTTACTACAGTCAGTTTAACGGGGAATTCTGCCTTGATATGGATAGGCTGAATTTCTTCAACATAGAACTTTGCGTAGAAGTGCAACACTCCAACTTACCACACCCCATGTGTCACACAAAGATAAATTAAAGAGAGAAAATAGATTCAAGAAAAACCATAGCGAGGGAGTAAGAATTATAACATGTAAAACATAAGGGTTTAATGCATATGGGAAATCACTGACAGTGAATGAGTCTGCAGCATTAACAATATTTTTGAGCCATAACACAAAGAGTCTTCAAGCATTGATTCTTGGTATTCGGAGGATTCCGATCAAGCAGTTTAAATATCCTTGAGTGGCTTAAACCAGCTGTCAAACACCGTATGAACTAATGTCAAGGGATAGTAGAAGTGGATAAAGAGAATCCTTGTCAAGAATTAATTAATCTTAGAATAAGTTGGTACTCTCTCTGTGGAGATGTGGCTTTTTAACTTTTGCACATGAGATGAGTTCAAATCCCGCGTCAACTACTTCAAGCTGAATGACTAGTTGGTTTCATCAGCTATCATGCATAAAGTATGACTCATTTTTAAAATTATTTTATTTTATTCCTTTGCGTTCTAAGTGGACCACAAGGGTTCAAGCTAGAGCCTTGAAGTTTCGGTAGCAGCGGTTTTACTTCTACATGGTGGGATCGCTAGTCTCATGACCAACCTTCCCTCTTTGCCTGCCTTATTACAAGGTAAGCGAGGTTTGAAAGTATATGGACCCCAGGATTGAACCCTGGACTACTTGAGTGGCTAGCGAGCATTATGCTTCTGCACCACCAAGGCACAGTATAGCTCATAGCATGGTAAATTAAAAATCGACCATAGGCAACTGGGTTCTAAATAACTGAGATTTAATCAATGAAATACCATTCAACATCCATCATCATTTCTATGCAGTTGGGAAGGTCCTACACATACCCAAACCTTGTTATGTGGAGCCGGAGTTCGAACGAATGACCAAGTGATCTGTAGGTAAGCGCCTACATCAATGAGCTTCTATCTGACCATATTGTCTTTGTTTTGTAAATTACTTTGTTTAACTGGGTCTTTTTTGATTTTGTTGTTGTTGATTTCTCAGAATGATGTAGTCTGTTTATCACGAGCACAATCACAAAAACTTGGTGGAATTGGTCAGTTATGCATAGTTACGAAAGTCTCTGAGTCAATTCACTTAATTGATCCTTTAACTTGTCAAGGTTAGTTAACCAGTCAGTCATACACCCACACACACGCACACACTGTTTTCTGTTCTTATGTATTAATTAATGAAATGACAATGGTATTTGTTTGTCTGATATTGTTAGACATAGTGTAATCACTTTGAGTTACTATTTTTGCTTTAGTCGGATAGGCTATTCGCCCCAACTACCGTTAGGGTATGTGATTAGTTGAAAAATAATCACGTCAAGCAGTTACTAGCAAACCATATCAAAGTCGTCTAACCACTAGACGGCCGTTTCTCAGGTTGGGGGGCGTAGCCCATTAGCAGTGAACTTGGATCGACTCAGACCAGAGAGGTGAATTCTGGTTGGCTATTTGAAAAACTGGTAATACAACCAATTGCTCTTCAGCTGTATTAGGGAAAAGAAAACGTTTGTAAGAATTGTAGGAAACTTCATTTCTTTGATCGATATTTAATTTTTCGAAAATGGTTGTGCTGTTTGTGCATATAAACTGTTGTCTACACAGTGTGATACCAATCTGTCATGTGTATCGTATATTGTACTGTGAAAGGTCAGGTATTCAAGTAGTGGATGTGAAATTCGTCGGTGATTTAGCGGTAGAATGTTCGTCAACCACACATGTGGTCGAGGGTTCGATCTCTAATCAATTCACTTTTACACTTCTCTTAGCCGGCTGTATGTTTTTTGTTATCACCAGGGCAGTGCAAGATTCACCACTGTCTCTTTCTGCGTACATAGATTTGGTTTAAGTCGTTTGATGGCAATTGCTTCAGCAAAGCGTAGCAAGCTAGGTTTCTTTTGCTTGTTGATTATTTTAAACGACTTCAGGTTGTCTACAATATGACCAGTGTCCAATAGATGACGAGCAATAGCACCGTTTAATGCTTGCGGACCTTTCAGTCTCAAGTTCTTTGGTATGTGTTCATAGATGCGGACACTAACCCTTCTCTCTGTTCTTCCAGTGTATGTGCTTTGGCACGTACATGTAAATTGGTAGACACAGTTGGAGGTAACATGAGGTGGGTATTTGTCCACCTAATTGTCTAATTATTCTATAAATAGTCAGTGTTTGTAACTCCTAATCAGTTAAATCATTCCAGACTAATGTTACTTTTAATTCCTACCAATTACTCCTTATGATCGTGGAAAAGTTGTAACCAGTTGAGAAGAATCCTTGATATAATAAAAGATAAGCTCGTATTATCCTGGTACAATTGTTGTTCTTGCTTTGTTCAAGTTTATTAATGGGAAGAATTGCATGAAGTTTTCAATTGTATGTTAGATATGTGGACGACATTTTTATTATCTGTGATGACGCGGTCACGATCTCAAGCAGTTACTAGAAATATTCAGTTACAAAGTTCACTCTTGAAATTGAAAACGAATTTGAAATCACTTTTCTTGATGTCGAACGCTGGATCATGTGCATGGTCGCGAGCGTCCTAACCAGACATTCAATGAGAAGAACCAGAACTATGCATACATGAGAAAATTATTCAACCACATCTACTCTCATGGTAACAACTCTGTTGATTTGACTTAACTTTTGTTTGTATGCTTATTTTTCTAACTACTTAAAACCCTTACGTAATTCCGTGTGTTATTTTGTTTCCATGTTTACCCTGAGCACAAATCTTTCATCAAAATATTCACATTATTACGTAACTCTTCTTTAACAATCGTTTGTGACAACCCATCACTTTTGTTACTACCCTCTTATATCAACATCCAATTCATGTGAACTTACTAATTGTATTTTCGTTTGGCAAATTTAATGTACACACATATACAAAACAACCATATCTATATATTTGCGATTGTACAGCTTTGGAAATAAATTCGCCGCCGAAAAGAGACTCTTCGCTGAACTACTGGTCTTCTGTATATTTCAGAACTGTTGTGTTATCAGCAAAAGACAAGTGACTATATTAAACGAGGCTAGAATTATCTATAATATGATTTCATGGCTCAGTAGCAATCAGATATATATATATATATATATATATATATATATATATCAGCACCAGGGATCTCTCGGAGCGAACCAACCAGGAACCGATTGTGAAACAAATAGGCAGGAAGAAATGGAGACGGATTGGCCATACCCTGAGGAAACCATCAAGTGACATCACTAGACAAGCCACCGCTCGAGTGGAACCCGAAAGGGAAGCGGCGAGTTGGTCGTTATTTCAAGGGTGACTTGGAGGAGGTCATGTGAGGAGGAGATGAAAGCATGTGGGCAGACTTGGAGCGGGGTGAAAAAGTTGGCAAAAAACAGGAGGCAATGGAGGTGCGCAGCTGAAGCCCTATGTTCCTCTAGGAATTAAAGGATAAAATAATAATAATATATATTTAATGGACGAAGTGTCGGATGCTTTGATGTAGATCATGTGAGGAATAGATGAAAGCTCATGAACAATCGTGGAGTCAGTTATAAAGGACCACAGAAAGCATGGTGAATTGAAATATGCTGCTAAGGTCCTATGTTCCACTGGGAATCCGAGGGAATAATAGTAATATGTCACATACTAAGGAAAGAAATTAGAAATTTTTTGTATCATTTAGCCAGAATCTCGGTTAGTGAATATTTGAAAGTCATTTTCCCTACTGTCTTTTGTTGTTTGCCATTATTCCTGTTCAATATATATATATTCTTATCTCTTTTCAGTTTGTCATGTGGACAGTAAAGCCTATTTCGCATCACCTTTCACCTCGATAACAACACAAAAACATTTATCTCCATTTATTGTCCTTGAGATTGAAGAAGGTGAAGATGAAAGACGTCAGTCGAACTCTTCAAAAAAATCTTTCACTACATCAACAACCTCATATCCAGTCGGTGCAAAATTATCTAAAAAACATTCACCAATATCTGTTTGGGTAATGAGAGACCCAACTGATGGTGTAGACTTGGTTCAGTTGAATAATGAATCTGATGAAGGTATGATTCATGCTAGATCACATCTTGGGCGTATTTTACATTCTGGAGATAAAGTTCTTGGGTAAGTCGATTATGTGTGTTTGTGTGTGTGTGTATGATTCGCCTAACGTGTTATCATGATGTTTGTTTTCTTCTAATAATATGATTATCAAGTTGAAAGCTTGGTACATTATTGGCACCAAGAGGAGCACCTGGCATACATACCGCTCAGATACCCAGATCAAAGCAGGTGGTTGTCTTAAGGAATTACCTTCCAAGCCTTTGACTTAAAAAAGTCTGAACAAGGAAGGAGTGGAGCAGAATCAAGAGCTACATTCCCATGGTTATTATTTATTTTTATTCTTCCCTTGGGTTTCTAGTGGAACATAGGGTTTCAACTGCACGTCTCCACTTGCTTCCTTCTGCTATACTTTTCACCTGCATCCATGTTAGTCCATACTGTTTCAACTCCTCTCTCTTCACACGATCTCCTCCAAATCACCCTTGGAAGTCCCACTCGCCGCTTCCCTTTCAATTTCCACTCGAAGGCCTGACGCGCGATGTCACCCAGCGGCCTCCTCAGCGAGCGAGTGTCCGATCCATCTCCACTTCCTCCTGCATATTTGTTGTTTGGCGATTGCTTCTTGTTTTGTTTATTCCCAAAGTTTCTTGTTGGTGATTCTTTCCGGTCCGACCATCTGATCTTCAGTATAGAGCCAGCGAAGACAGTTAGTTGTTGATAAGGTTCTGCTATAGCCTGTTGTAAATATTCTTTGTGATCCGTATAGACGAACTGACTTGACGTTTTTATATTGAAAATCCGACCGAATTCTGTTGTTGATGCTGGCTGAGTGACGAAGATTTCCAGATTGGTTTCAGGTTGATGATGAATGTGTTTCTCGCCTGTCTTCCCGATTCTCGTTCGATTTGACATCCTCGTCCGTTCCGATTGCCTGTAGTTGAGACAATGCTCCCTAGTTAAGATAAGTGAGTGAAGTAACCTCTTTCAAATCCCTCCTGTTGATGGTGATTGACGCTGGATGTTGCTGCTTTTGTTCTTGTTGTTTGGTTATTTCCATAACCTCCGTCTTGTTTATGTTCACTTGGAGTCCTGTCTTCGCCGGCTACTTCTTCGACCAGTTTGTCGGTTTTCGCTTGTAAGTCTTCGATTTTGTGTGACATCAAACATTAATCATCCACGCGCGAAATCCAGGTCTTCTAGGTTCTTCACGTCGGTCGGTCCAGGATATCCCTTTCTTCTCGTTTCCCACTCACTGTCTGACGCATAATCCAGTCAATCCACCACAATTAGGAATATCATTGGTGATAATAAGCACCCTTGTCTGTGTATGCACGGCAACTTGGGAGAAGAACGAGAAGACTGAAGTCTACCAACCCTCTGTTGTATCAGGGTTGTTTATAGGGGGCTTTCTTTTGGTATAATTCTAGAGAACTGTATCTGTTTTATTTATCTTAAAAGTGTTATCCATTAAAATGTTTACGTTAATTAGTCACTAATGTGTAAGCTGTGTCAGGTGTGTCTAGTCCTTCATATTTGGGTGCTGACTGAATTTCTATCATTCAAACTTGCAATGGATTCACTATGGTAGATGACTTGTTGTCCCGGTGAACTGGAAAGCACTTACATCAATCAATAGTTGCTTACTAGGTGGGTCGCAGTGATGTGAACACCAAACTAGTGTTACTGTCACTTGGGAGCAGTCTCATCAAAGAATAAAATCAGTTCAAACTACTCGAATTCGGACTTTCTTCAGTTCGAATTATTAATATTCTTCTGTTGTGTTCCTAGTGGATTATAAGGATTCAGCAGCTCGTCTCCGTTTAGCTCTGTCGTCTGTTGTCATTTTAAACTGACTTCACGATTGCCCTAACTGACTGATTCATTTCAACCTAGAACTTTGCACAGAAGTGCAGCAGTTTCAGTTGCTACACTCCATGTGCCACACAAAAGAAGACAAAAGAGGTAAAAAACAGATTCTAAAGAGCGATAATAGGCAGAAGTGTAAAAGAGAAAGAGGATTAATATGGTAAAAAATAGGGTTTCATTGGATATAGCTGATTACAGAGTTAATTCATTGCGATTGAGAACGATTTTGTACCAGTCATTGGTTTTTGCCATCCTGAGGATCTCAATCAGACTGTCTAAGCCTCCCTATGTGGCTCAAAATAACTGTTAAAGGTCTCATGAACTGATGCCATGTTTTGGTTTGACTGATACTAGCTGTTTTCCAACCTCATCGATCCTATGGCAGCTAGTATTTCCCGTTGAGGAATGTGATAGCTAGGCTTATATTGCATGTTTCTTAGATATCCCAATCGATATGGATTCACAATCTCATCGAATGATTTTCCCGCCTTACCTAGCACTTGACCGACGCTTAACCTCAATAACACTCACCCTATCATACCACTCAACTTGGGAGATAGAGCGCAGACATTTATGATCAAAGATAACTAGTATTTTTCTATTTCCCACTTTCAATGTCCATATCTCACAACCATAAGGGGGGGCAGAGAGAATTGCTGAACAGTACACACATCCTTTGGTCGACAGTCAGATATCACATCTACGCCAGAGATGGCGTAAGTTGGCGTATACCTAACGAGTCTTCTCTATCCATACTGAGATTTCGTTGGAGATCAACCCGTTGGCACTGGCTGATACAGCTTCCAAAATAACCGAAGTGATCAACACCCTCAACCATTTCACACCCTGGTTTTAAGCTAAGAGTAGGAGTCGATGTAATTCACTCTTGTTGGTGCCAGTGTTTTACAAGTAGCTTTAGGTAATTTAATAAGTTACATAGCGTTTGTGAACTATTTTTTCTCACCGTAGACTATTTCGTTTTATTCCATATTAGTTTGTTTATTAGATATATCACACAGTGAGTGAAACAGCATTATTTTGCTGGTTGACGTTTCGAACAAAATTTATTGTTCATAATCATATCAATTATTATCACACGACTTTGAAACTTGAGTTTTATAGTTTTCTTTGTTCTCTCCTATTTTTCGTCATTGGGGTAGTGGAATTTTCCAGATGTCTAACTGAACATGTGTTGAACCATTCCTATTACACGTATTTTCATTCAGTTGATTCGATATCTCTTTCCACCCTGTGACATTAGATTTTAAAACTGTCATCTTATCCCAGCCATCCTATTGTATGACTATGTGTAATTGCATGTCGTGAGTACTATAGCTGAACTATTCTCTAGATTTCTTATCTTATTCGGGTCAACTAAACTAGATTCTGCTAGGTTTTTATGCTCGGTTAGTACGATTGCCCCCTGTTTTAGTAGTTTGACCTATGTATTTGACCGACCAACAGTGGGGTTAGACAGGGTTGCCCAATCTCCCCATTTCTCTTTAACTTTGCCATCGATGACATTCTGCAGTCAGCTCTGAAGGATGTGCTTGAAGGTGGTGTAGATCTGCTACCTGGAGATAGACTTTTCGACCTCGAGTATGCAGACGATATCGTCTTACTGTGCGATAGCATGCAGGCTACCCAAATCGCACTTAATCATTTGGCGATCAGTGTCTGTAAGTGTGGTATGTACTTAACGTCGTCTAAGTGCAGAGTACTGTTACAAGATTGGCAGGAGCCTGTACCTGCACTCACTCATGCGGGTGAACCGCTTGAAGTTGTTGATAAGTGTGTATATCTGTGTTCTCTTTTGTTTGGTTCCTTTTCTATTCAACTTCATCATAGATGTGTTAATGGACTTAACCCTAAGTGACTTCAGCGATTCAGGGATTGACTTGCTACCGGGGAATAATCTCGTTGACTTGGAATATGCAGACGATATAGTCCTTCTAGGCGAAGACGCTGACGAAATGCAGAGTCTTCTAAACACCTTGAGCCGCAATCTACGAATGTTTGGCATGTGATTCGCTCCCGCCAAATGCAAGATGATGTTACAGGACTGGACTACATCGACGCCTAGTTTAAAAATAGGAAGTGAAGTGGTAGAGCACGTTGACCGCTTCACTTATTTGGGAAGTACCATCAGCCAGTGTCAACGGGTTGATCTCTGACGAAATCTCAGCACGAATACAAGGGGCTCGTTTCGCATTTGCTAGTTTACGCCGTCTCTGGCGTAGACGAGGTGTTCGACTATCGACCAAAGGGCGGGTGTACTGCTCATCAGTCCGCTCCGTCCTCCTTTATGGTTGTGAGACCTGGCCATTGAGAGTGGAAGACATGAAAAGACTAGCTGTCTTTGATCATAGGTGCCTACGCTCTATTTCCCGTGTGAAGTGGCATAATAAGGTGAGCAACATTGAGGTTAGGCGTCGAGTTCTAGGTAAACAGGGGAAATCAATCGACGAAGTCGTGAAGCTACAAAGACTGAGATGGTTAGGACATGTGTTACGTATGCATGCCTAGTCATCGCCTCCCTCAACGAGCAATGTTAGCGGATATAGGGTCAGGCTGGTAAAAAGCTAGCGGAGGTCAAACAAACACTTGGCATCAGTCAATGAAATCCACAACAGTTAGTCTAAGTCACGTAGGGAGGTGTAGACTTCCAGGCTGGGGTCCTCGGGACGGTAAAAATCTATGGTTGGAAACAATTGGTGACATGGCTCAAAATCGTTCTCAGTGGCTGGGGCAGATGCATCCACTCCTTGTGACTTATGATCTCTAATGAAACTGTTTTGTTCTTCGTTATTACTCCTCCTTTGTCTCACACCTCTGCTCACTGTTTCCATTATGCTTTTTTTGTACTTTCTTCTCTTGCTTCACGTGCTACACGGAGTGTGGCGACTTGAACTTCCGCACATTTGTGCAAAGTTCTATGTCGAAAACAGACAGACAGACAGTATATCTGTGTGAGTGCCGGCGGAGGAGTGACGGATGAGATTTCCAACCATATAATGAAGACTAGGGTGGTATACATCAACTTAAGCCACCTCTGACGCCGTCAAAATATTACCCTGGCTGTCGAAGGTCGTGTTTACAATGTTTCGGTGTGGACTGTCTTGCTCTACGCCTGTGAAACTTGGCTTCTCCGAGTAGGCTGAGGATGTTCGGCGACTCATTGCAGCACTCCCACCTTAAGGAGAATTGAAGAAAGATATCTCATGGACGTCCTCCAAAAGAATGGATATCCACGGAATTTCATCAAGAGACATATACCCTCAAGCCAACCTATTCAACCAAAAGCCACCAAGGAAAGCACAAAGAAAATCGCCTTACCATATATAAAGGATATCTCAGAAATCACTACAAGACTCTTCAAACCTTTAGGAATTGACGTCGTACACAAACCAACAAAGTCGCTGCACTCAATTCTATGTCAACCGAAAGACTCAACAGCGAAAGAAGATAAAACCAACATCATCCACAAAATAAATTGTAACAAGTGCGAAAGACACTACATTGGCCAAAGTGAACGTCCCCCTCGTCTTCGTATCCACGATCATAAGCTAGCCGTCAAAAGACATGATATCCACTCCCTCGCTCATCTCACTACACACAGACAACCACGGACATCACTTCGACTGGGACAACCAGCGTTCAAATATTAGACAGAGGAAACAACAAGAATGCTAGAGAATTTTTAGAAGGCTGTCGTGTATTCCAGTGAGTCATCAATCAATAGACACATCGAGATAGACAAAATTTATCAACCAATAAGAAAGAAACCTCACACACACACACAAAGGGTCAAAGTTCAAGTCAAAGAAACAATCAGTTCCAATAAAAGTAGCCACCTAGAGGGTGTGAAAACACACATAAACAAGCAATCACGACGTTCAAGATCAGGTCACCACCAGGAGAGATGATTAATAAACTCGTGGAGAAATCTAAAAGCTCACTTCATCGAATTGAAGTATGCGCTGAAGATGTCACCCAGTAGGGTGATGAAAGCTTCGCAAACTAACCATCTAGCTCAGAGAACAAAACCACATCAAAATCATCCACCTGAGCTACAAATTTTCCCTATCATATCTAAACTAAACTGTTTTGTTTCACAAATATATATTGATATTTTCTTTTTTTTTTATTTCGTTCATGAAAATCTGTATTCAAAAATTTTCTAAGAATCTGTGGGGATGGTATTGACTCATTTGACCCTTTTTCTTTCTGATAAACATTTCTGTAGATTGGATTTGAGAAATTGTAATATTAATCATCCAGAATTTGAAAAACTACCAGAGGATAAAGTACCTGATGTGATTTTAGTATTACGACCTAGTCAACCAAAACCGACAAGTGTTGATGAGAAAGAGGAGGGGGGTAACGGTGGTCCAAGTAAACGGAAACGTATTCGAAAGCATTCATTCGGTGTAGCAGATTCTGAAATGGATACTACTTCACAAACAATGCCTACAGGATACTCATCATCCGACGACGATGACGATGAATATGCTTCGTTTGATGAAGAAGACGAACAAACAGAGGTAGAAAATGGCGCTGATGAAAAATTCAAAGACTTGGAAATGGATGTTAATTGGGAAGGTGAGTAGTGTGATTTTCGTGGTCGTCTACTTTGTAGTGTCCCTTTCAAGTGTTATTTCTTTTTCCACTGATATATGTAATTTGTAGTGTGTTACTACTGATATGATTTATCAGTAGTATATCGATGCAGATTGATGGGAAGCAGTTAAAGTTGAAAACAACATTTTAAGTCAGTGGCTACAGAAGTGGAAGCACTTATTTCTCAAATCTGGGTCTAGCCTACGTTGTGGTCAGGAAATAATCTCAACGTCTAACCTTCAGGAAATCGGCATCCAATCAGAATAGTTTTAACCTTCAGAAATCAACAACCAATCAGGATAGTTTATTATCCACTGACCTAGCTGACCCGAATGTAGCTAAAAATTTATAAATGTGATGTGCGTTTGCTCAGTAGAAAAGTTCGTTACCAAGTCTCTTGTCTTCTCCCGTTACATCTTCTTCGTGGCTAAATGAAGACTGAAATCCTACCTATCCGAAAGAAACTTTTATGCTATCAAAATGGGGGAAATATATAGCTATAAACTTGACTATAAAATTGAGATATAATTGTATTTACACTCCCGTGGTTGAGTTTGGTTTATAGTGATTTTATTATTTATTGAAAGACAAACTTGGTACATTGTGAGCTCTAAGGAATGTACCACATAAAATTTCTTAGTTTGTGCGACGACTGAGATAGTGATTAGACGCGTAGACCAAAGCGAGTGGTTGTCTTAAAAGCGGTACCTCGAAATCTGTGACTTGAAATCTGATTCACAAGGTAATAAAGCAGAGCACCAGGAGTTACGTTCCAATGCTTATCGGTAACTAAAGCAGGTCTATACGCTATTCGATCGTTTCGTATTTTGAAGCTCGTGTAGACTGTAGATTTGCAATAAGGGTTTTCTAGCTCTCCTAGGTAGACGTGTGGATGTCCACCAGTCGAGTTGTAAGCTCTAGACGTTCGCATTCGCCCTTTTACTTTTGTTAGCTAAACCCTCGTCGCGTGTAGACAGTGGATAGAAAATACCTGGCGTCGCCTAGGAACGTGTGGCCCCATGGGAGCCTACTCATCACCTTCACCTGCACCAGGTAGTTTATAGTGGCGTTGAAGGCGGACAGTGATTGACGGTGAGGTTATAATTGTTGTTCAATTGCATCCTGTTTCTAATTAGGCAGAAACTAAAGGGGGAACGAAGTCTACAGACATCCAATCAGCAAAACTCCTGAATACCTAGAAGGTACAAGCTTCTATAAACTAAACACAATTGGTATAAAGTTGTTTTCATCGACAACCGAAAGCCAGTTGTGGTACTGTCTAGATGCTGACCCGAAATTACCCTATAACCTTAAAATAACCATATTTTGAAGTTATTACGTATTCACGGTCATTCAGGACATCGTATATCTTCAGCATCTTTGTCAAATGTCCTAACTGTTGTTTAGGAGATTTGAAGCTGTCTTGTTAACGGCTACTCTTCTTTACTTCTTTTCGCGTACCGATTGTTTCTTTTTTCAAGTGTTGTTTTGTAGGGATTTGATTGGTTACAGGATTTCATCATGAGCTGACATTAGTTAGAGAACCATTGGAAAACCTGGGAGTAGTGGACAGCTGTTTCGTCCGCTCTAGTATGGGAATCTTCATCAGTACGCGCCCACCCCGTTGGGATTCGAACCCGGGACCATCTGGTTACAAGGCGAGCTCGTATACCATAAAGCCACTGGGACTCGACCTAATGGTCCATGAATTCCAACTTCTGCCAATTCGCAACATAACGCGACCCCTAGCCAATGTCTTCGGCGAGTATTTGCCCTCACACCCGACCTGCTGCACCCTACTGGTCACATCGGCTAGGAGTCGCGCTATGTCGTGAATTGGCAGAAGTTAGAATTCATGGGCTGGCCATTTTATCAGGTCCCAGTGGCTTAATGGTCTACGAGCTCGCTGGCCTTGTAACCAGAAGGTCCTGGGTTCGAATCCCGGTGGGTGTGTGTTGCTGGAGAGTCCCAAACTAGGACGAGACAGCTGTCCGGTTTCGGTTTTGTTGCTCTTGTGATGGTGGTTGACATTGTGGCTAGTGATTGGCGTAGTTTGTATTAACACCTTAGGTTCCTATTGCTCATAGTCGACAAGGTCATGTCATAGATCATAATTATTTTTGAATGAAACATATGGCTTCAACAACACGTCTCCACTTTGTCCTATTTTTTGCGGTCCTCGTTAAATGGTCTCGTGTTTGCCCATACTCTCTGATCTCCTCACGCGATCGCCTCCATGTCACTCCACCTGTTGTTTCTCACTCGGTTTCCGCTCGAAAGCGCGGCGTACGATGTTACCCGACGGTCTCCACAGTGTGTATCCAATCTATCTTCATTTTCTTCCACAATTTTGTTGAGCAACTATTACTTGTTTGGTTTGTTCCCAGAGTTTCTTGTTGCTAGTCGTTTCTGGCCATCTGATCTTCAATGTGGAGCCAGCGAAGGTGGCAGCCGTTGATAAAAGTCTGCAGTAGCGTCGGTGGCACAGTGGTTAGGACTCTTTCGGTCCGGAGTTCGATCCGCTGCCGATTCACACCTGATATCTATGGTCGGCCTGCAAACTTTGGGCTACAGATATCATCACATGCTGAAAATTCCATACTTGTACCAAAAATACGGTATGGAATAAAGCTGTAAACAAAGAAAAGAGAAGAAATACTTTTCGTTGCGCGCGTGTCAAGTTTCTGAGCCATCATATAAAAGAACTGACTGACTTAACTTTTGTATTGAAGAACCGAGTTTCGTTCTTTATCTTGTGTGCAATAGCTGTCCAAGCTGATTTCACAATGATGCATGTCTGTCTTGCCTTTCTTATTTGGGCTTTGACATTGTCATCCGTGCCATCGCCTGATGTTGGAACAATGCTGCCTGGCCAGATAACTGAAGGAAGTGACCTCCCTATAGGTTATATCACTGATCAATGATCGCATTTTTGTTTCATCCCAGTTTTTATGACCCCTCCCCCAGTGGTACTGTTTATCCACAATTTCTTGCGAGTGAGAGATGAAGACCATCAGAGCGTATGACTGCGGGCTTCTGATCTAAGGAGCTCATGACTTGGAAGTTCCTTTGCATCAATCGAAATTTGAACTGTCAGGAAATATTGTCAGCTCTCGAAAAAAAGCATCATTGACTGTCACGTCGATTTGTATTCACCGTTGTTATCATTATTACTATTATATTATCGTAATTGTAGATATGTACACACAGTTATTCTGTTCTTCTCATTTTCCTTTTGCATTTATATTCACAGATGCTTGTGAGGAATCATCCATGAAATAAGGCCTTCAGCTGATGAGAGTAAATCGCTTTTATCTCTCTCTCTCTCTTGTGTGACTTGTTTTGTATTTTATATCTTGGATTGATCTTGCCTATGCTTTGCTTTTCTTTGAAACGATTTTTATCAGTCTTTATCTCAAGTTTCATTTTACTCTGTAAATTATTATTATTATTATCACCGTTATCATCATCATCATTTGAAGACAGTAAATAAATCGATTAGTTTTCTTTTGGATAACTCGAGTCTTTTATTATCTTTTCGTGTTTTACAATTTCACAGTGTTCAGATTTGTTAGAATGTGTGTGAATTATGCATTAGTGTTTGTGCAAGATCGGCAGGAGCCAGTAGTTGCACTTATCCTCGTGGATAAACTGTTTGAAGAGGAATAATCTCGTGGACTTAGAATATTCAGATGATATAGTCCTTCTAGGCGAGGACGCTGACAAAATAGAGCAGAGTCTTCTGAACACCTTGAGCTGCAATCTACGAATGTTTGACATGCGATTCGCTCCCGCCAGATGTAAGATGATGGGGTTACAGGACTGGACTACACTGACTCCTAGTTTAGAAATTGGGAGTGAAGTAGTAGGGCACGATGACCGCTTCACTTGTTTGGAAAGTACCATCAGCCAGTGTCAACGGGTTGATCCCTGACGAAATCTCAGTACGGATACAGAGGGTTAGTTTCGCATATGCCAGTTTACGCTGTCTTTGGCGTAGACGAGATATCCGACTATCGACCAAAGGGCGAGTGTACTGCTCAGCAGTCCGCTCCGTCCTCTTTTATGGCTGTGAGAGAGACCTGGCCATTGAAAGTCGAGGACATGAAAAGACAGGCTAGCTGTGTTTGATCATAGGTGCCTGCGCTCTATCTCCCGTGTGAAGTGGTATAATAAGATGAGCAATATTGAGGTTAGGCGTCGAGTTCTAGGTAAACAGGGGAAATCAATAGACGAGGCTATTAAGGTACATCGGTTGAGATGGTTAAGACACGTGGTACTAATGCTTAATCATCGCCTTCCTCGACGGGCAATGTTAGCTGATATATGGTCAGGCTGGAAAAGAGCTAGGGACAGTCAAGCGAAAACATGGCACCAGTCAATGAAACCTACAGCAGTTAGTCTAAGCCACGTAGGAAGGTGGTTGGGTTCCTTGGGGTGGTAAAAACCAATGGTTGGAAACAATTGGTGACATGGCTCAAAATCGTGCTCAATGGCGCAGATGCATCCACTCCTTCTGATTAATGATTTCCAATGAAACTGTTTTGTTCTTCGTTGTTACTCCTCCTTTGTCTCACACCTCTGCTTACTGTCTCTATTATGCTTTTCTTTTTTACTTTCTTCTCTTGCTTTGTGTGCTACATGGAGGGAGTGTGGCGACTCAAACTGCTGCACATATTTGCAAAGTTCTATGTCGAAAATAGGCAGGTATGTTTATCTAGGTAGTTGTGTGAATAAAAGCTTATATGCACCAACCTGGGTTACCTGTGGCGCCGTCAAGACAGTTATCTTGGTCTTAAAATGTCGCATTCACAATGCTTCCTTGCTCTCAGTCTTGTTTTGTGCCTATGAAATTTACTGTCTTCGAGCTGAGGGTGTGCGGTGCCTCTGAATATTTGATCATCAGTTTCCCCGTAGAATCGCTCGCAATCATCATGGTCATCGTGTAAGTAATTCCGAAATCTGGCGGCGTGTACCCTATGCACAGTAGACGCCGTCTTTCGCAGTAAGCATTGTGATTGTGGAACACTGGTTTCGGTGAATTAGCGATGTGCTGCGAATGTCATACCAGCCGTTCACTGTTTGCTTGCTCTGTGACTTGGCGAAAAAAGTGGACGGGTCGTGAGCCGAAGGCGTGACGATGTGGGATGAAGGAAAGTTGTATTGGGTTAACATCTGTTCGTGTATTACGAGTCTTTGAGTGAGTCTGAGTCAGTGACCTGATATGTTAGTAAATGTGATCGAGAATCGTGTAATCAATGGCGAAAACGCTGCAAGTGGACAGATAATCAGAGTTTAAATAAATATCACAAAAGTACGAAGGAAATGGAAAATAAGAAAGGGTGGGAGGGTTTTGATTACAATTCACCTAGGCAAGCAAGGCAGAGACAAAGGTAGAACAAACTTCTTTTGCTGTATGCAAAGACTAGAATTGTTCTCTGGAATTATTTCCATAGCTTCGGCTATGTGTAAAAGGCGGGTTCGAATTCTGTCCAAAAGGCTCGATGGAACGCGACAGATAACTTTGAAGGCACTACTTCTGTCCTCTTGGTGACCGCTATCAATCAATTGAGACAAAATAGAACTTCTTATGGATTTTACTTGGCCTTTTCCGAATCATGAAGGGAGATGCTCATCAATACGTTTGTTGAGCTGTCTAGTAGCTTTCTTAGAAGTAGCTAAATTTGCAGATACACATAGAAGTGGTACAGTGAGGTATTTTGTCTTTCGCTTGAGAAATCATAATTGGTCGGCTGGAAAATGATAAACACAGGGTGGCGTCAGTATAAGTCCGTTTTATTGCTCTAGATAATCTTAGATGTATAACTTTACCAGCCACATCCTTGATTAAATTTCAGATTTCCTTCTTGTTAAGCTTGGAAATAGTCCATTGAAGCAAGTGATAGATAAAATGGTTAAGATAAGATGTGGATGTGCATCATTAAATTTTATTAACATTTCATTGTTGTCAGCTTTCGCATCAAGAATAATGAATGTATCATCAACATAATGAAAATAAGATTCCATTTTATCTATTACTTCTAAATTAGAGTAAAGCCTGAAGATCTAATTGAAAACAAAATGGCTCGCTTATTTGTCTTGTGGAATGGAATATTTAAAGGTTTTAGAATCTTACGTGGTACATGATAGATAAAAGATGCCTGGATATAATAGAATAAAGTTTTTTACATTCCCTATCTAAGTCGTGGTTAATTCTGTTGGAAGATATATTTACGAATGAAGTTAAACCATTTTGAGATGTCCACACTGCTATTCCTCTAATAGTGCCAGCGAAATTTTGTTTGTTTCCCCTTAGTCCACTATGCTACTGGTTATTTGTAAGTAGCATAGTACATTTTTCTTAAATTTCTTTTGAAATGAAGTTTCCGTACAATTAGGTTTAGAATATTGGCATTTCTTACTCTCCTTACCCGCATCCATATAAATACCTTAGAAAAAGATCAGTTTGATCTTGAAAAGATGGCTAGACTGCAAACTATGGACGAGGATCTGAAAAGGCTAAAAAATAGCACGAGTACTTCCTTATGTTTGCAAGATGTTATGCTTAGTGAAAGCCTAACTATTATTACGTGTGATGTTTCCAAAGGTAAAACCGCGTCCTTTTGTCCCATTAGAAGTGCGAAGATCAGTTTTCTCCAGAATACATGGCATTTCTCACCCTGGCATCCCAGCGACAGTTAAACTGATATGTGACCGATTATAAATCGTGAGATTAAACAGTGGACCAGAGCATGTTTAGCCTGCCAAAAGTCAAAAGTACTACGACATACAGTCTCACCTAATGGCCAGTTTCCAGAACCTGATGGTAGGTTTCAACACATACACATTGACATCGTTGGGCCGTTTCCACCATCTAATGGCTCTACTTACATCTTAACGTGTATTGACAGACTTACGACATGGTCAGTAGCTAGTCCCGTACCTGATATTGCTGCCGAAACTGTTACAAAGAGCATTATACAACATTGGATTTCCAACTTCGGAGTACCCAGCATTATTACTACAGACAGGGGTGCCCAATTCGAAAGCCATTTATTCCAACAACTCACAGAACCACTTGGAATCAAACGTATACGTATTACTGTTTATCATCCCAGTTCAAACGGCTTAGTGGAGAGATTTCATCGTCAACTGTTAGCATCATTAATGGCAGTGAAGGATGATGATAAGTGGAGTGACAAATTACCACTTGTACTTCTTGGAATACGTTCGACAATAAAACAAGATATCGAATGTTGTCCAGCAGAATTAGTTTATGGAACTACTTTACAATTGCCTGGAGAATATTTCAATCCAGCCACTGAAGTTCCAACTGACGAAACTACTTTTGCACAGCAACTGAGACAACATATGAGCCTTTTAAGATATCATCCCCTGTGACATCAGCTCAACCAAGTATACATACCTCAAAAACCGGAAGATTGCACTCATGTTTCCACATGACACGACGGTGTAAGGAAACCACTTCAAACACCTTATGAAGGACCATTTAAAATAATAAGTAGAACAAGCGAAATCATCACTGTCGAACGCGGAGGGAAACACGAGAATGTAAGCATCGATCGTGTGAAACCAGCTTTCATAGAAATAGAGGTGATTGGATGTTTGCCCAAATCATCAACATCATCTAAAGTTACGCCACAAAATGATCCATGCTCTCAAGATTCAAAATTTGGTGATATTCCGGCTAACAAAACAGAAAAAATCAGCCAGGCGAGTACATTGGCCACAAAGATTTGTACAGACAATTTATTTCTAGGTCATTTCCATACTTCCTTATTACTGTGCTATTAACTGTATGTAAGATATAAATCTATCCTGTATCTCTTACAATAACAACCTCATTATTATTCTAAAAATTTTTCTGGTTTTATTGTTACATATTGCCCAACTTTTTAAACATTTTAGTTCGTTTCAAAGTTGTTAACATTTTCGAATATATACAGTTATATCATCAAACCTCAGAAAACTTAAAATCCCCAATTAGGTTTTCATTCCAGAAACTCTTATATGTTTCTTTTGTCATTGTAATCTACCATATCATTCCGAATACAGGTAAACTTCATTTACCTGCATTCTACGGAGAGGCTATTGTAGTGGCCGATTTCATTACTCATCATCGTAGTATACTTTCACTATGTAATTAGACTTTGATTTGTTTATCACTATAAAGATTGCGTGTTATCAATTGATACATCTGTACTGGCTCAACTTTTGAATTTTGATTACTACGATAATACACGTTCGTGCAGCTTCTAAAG